ACTTCTCAAACAAATTAAATAACATTTCGTCTCTATTTCTGGTTATACACTCGATGGTGACGGTTTGTATTGTAACGGTAATAAATAAATAAATAAATAAATCTAATTACCGTAGCGTGGATACGGTAATTAGAAAGTTCAAAACATTTTTAACAAAAGCCGACTATTTATGACACAACTGAATTATTATAAGTGTATTTTGGGACATTTGGTTTATTTCCACTGATAGAAGTGCCATTCCAAATTTTTCGAAATAAAATTAAGTTTCTTAATATTTGGTTAGTAGTAATGATTAAAAGTTACTCCAATTATTTCTTATGATTAATCACAGCTGTTACAAAAACAATGTTATAATTTTAATTATATCTGTCGACGAAAATCCTTTTTAAAATGAAAATTATTTATATGTTAATAGTTGTTCTTTAAATTTTTTGTTTTTATGTTTTCTTAAAAATGTTTCAACTTTTCCTATTTACCGTATCCATGGCCGTATTCTAATGTCATTTAGACATATTGATAGTTAAGCTCAAAGTTGTTCATATGTTCAATGTTATTGGATATATATTAAGCGAGAAAAAACAATGGCTACGGTAATTAGGCTGAGAACATCGAACGTGAGAATGGCCGATGAATGCCGTCACTGCCATCCCACTGACACTTTCATCATTCTACCATACGACGGCCATTGCTGGGCATAGACCTTTATAGAGACTCAACTGCCTGTGCTTGTTACTCAAGGACCTGTTTCAAGAAAATTATGAGACTTAGGAGCCTGTTCGTGTCCTGTCAGATTGAAGGAGTTTTTGACAGTGTTCGATCTTTGTATTAATAATTACAGAAAACTTTCTTTTTAATCTCTATGATTACTGTTTTGTGGCTTTTCTTTCAGTCCGCCAATCATAAATCATTTTCCGTTACTCGCGATCCCTGATTGGTCATTCTTATTTTAACGGCTCCGAACTCGAGCATTAATAAAAAAAAATAACTTAAATAATTTTACGTATAAATATGAAAATAATAATTTCGCTAAGAATTACATTGCGTTTGATTTTTTTATTAAAAATATATCTTTTTGTGAATTTTTCGTTTAAAACCTTTTGTGCGATACTGGAGTCATTGTCAGGAGGTTCGTTGTCTCTGCCTACCCCATTGGGAGATAGGTGTATGTGTATTTTTTAATGTAAGTAGAACGAACGCTTGGCCGCAACATCACCTGGTGTTAAACTGGATTTCAAACTGGATTTTTAGCTGCTTCTTCACTGGAAGTCTGGAAATAAAGAAAATAAACGAATTAAATATAACAGTAATAATAACGCACACACTCAACATAGCCTGGGGAAACCCTGTGTCGCAGGGTGCCATGGACACATACATAGACAACCAACCACAAATTATACCTAAACTCACGAGAGAAATAAATGTAGGCCATACAAATGTTTCTCCCGGCCCTGGACTCGAACCAGAGACCTCTGCGTGGCCGTACGGCATGGTAACCATTCCGCCACGGAGACAGTTATGGTCCAAAACAGTAAGATTGGAAAGACTTTTGAGACTTAAATCTCTTACAGTGTTAAAAATCAACTAAACCTAAAGTATTTTTTTTTATTTACGATACGATATTACGATACGAACTACTAGGAACATATTCCCGACACTGACGGATATGAACTAGTTCGTTTTGCACGGTTTTAAGAGCGTGTTCATATTAGCCGTTGTTAGCCGAGAGACTCACTTTTCATACAATTCTAGACGCGCTGCAGCAGCGCCACTGTCGCGCGGTTGCAGCGCTTCAAGAAGTATCTATGTAAGTAACTAGCTTTTCCGAATAAAACTAAGAAATGCTAAAGTCACGTGTCATGCTACTACTTTTTGCAGAATTACTACTTTTTGAAACTGTTTCTGGAAAGCGTTTCTTTTTGAAAATAACCGTCTCGTTTCGTTTATCGATAAAAACGTTATAACCCAGCTCTACTGGTCCGCGGTAGAGACTGTCTTACTGTCTTCTGTCTTGCGTCGCAGTCGCCTGTCTCGACCTTGTTCGCGAACTGAACACATGCAAAAATCTAAAGTGCTTGTGTAATACAGTAGTCTTTCTTTCTTTAAAGTCAAGTAACGGTCTTGGTCTCTGTCTCCCGTCTGGTCTCCTGTCTCTGTCTCGACCCGAACCGCCACCTTAAGACTTATTGTGCACGTGTACAATAATTGTAAGTACAGTACGTGTACAAAAGTGTGTGCCTAGATGCCTTGTTACGAATAGGCATGTCGCTTACGAACAGGTCAAAGTTAAATCATTTATTCCATAAGTAAAATAAATTTACTCTTTTTAAATAAATTTCAGTGCTATGGAATACACTTTAAACTAAATTTGTGTGGAATCTAGAGCCAAGTCGTCTTTCCATATTCAAATTATTCAAATTCAAATTCAAATTCAAATTCAAAATAATCTTTATTTCATAGGTAAGCATTATTACACTTGAAATCGTCACAATATTAAACACTACCGCTCATTCGTAAGGCAGATTCCCCTGAGAAGAATGAGCAAGAAACTCTAGGGGTTGCTCTTTGTAAATAACATTTACAATATTTATTTTTTTATTTGAAACATCAGAGATCGAGACTACCTCCATGAGCTAAACGGGTTACTACCACGGATTTTTGTCATCCAAGTACGCAGAAGTTGTGTAATAACCTTTAGTATAAAGTTTTTGTTTCACTATAGTTTTAAACCTCGTGAAAGGCAAATTTTGTATTTCAACCGGAATCTTGTTATAGAAGCTTATACATTGCCCCTTAAATGATTTTTTGACTTTGTGAAGACGACTATCAAGAAAAGCTAGTTTATTTCTATTCCTCGTATTAATGTTATGTCTGTCACTATTTTTCATAAATAAATTACTATTCCTTTTAACATAAATTACATTCTCATAAATGTACTGTGAGGCTAGTGTAAGAATGTTAATTTCCTTAAACTTATCTCTCAAAGATACTTTGGGGTCCAGATTGTAAATTGTCCTAACTGCACGTTTCTGCAGTGTACGGGTTGTGTTGATATCGGCGGCATTACCCAATTTTTTTTTTTTTTTTTTTTTTTTTTTTTTTTTTTTTTTTTTTAAACCAATCTAGCGGTTTCGACGTCTGAAAGTTTCCTTATTTTTTTAATCGCGTACACTGCAGAGCCGAGCCGTTTTGATAACTTACTTATATGGGGACCCCATTGCAATTTAGCATCTAACGTTATACCTAGAAATACAACTGTATCCACAAGATTCAATTTTTCGTTTCTAACTACAATGTTTGTAACCGTCTCTCTAACATTGGGTAATGTAAATTTCACACAATTTGTTTTTTTCTCATTAAGAAGTAGGTTATTAACAGCAAACCAATCAACTACTTTAGACATAGCATTGTTCACATCGTCGTAGGAACATTGGTTCCTTACATCTTTATCTAACACGTAGTCTTCAATTTTGTAATATGACTTTTCAAACAAAATATTTTTAATGTAGTTTTTAAACTTAGGAAATGATAAACTTAATATTTGCTCCGGAATCTTATTGTAAAAACGTATACAGATCCCCATAAAAGAGTCGTTTATCTTGGTTAAACGAAATCGTAGTACCATGAGTTTGGACTTAGCTCTAAAGTTAATATTATGGTTATCTTCTTTCGTATTGACATTGTGTATATTTTTACGGGCATATAAAATATTTGAGTAAATGTACTGTGATGCCACAGTCATGATACCAGTCTCCTCAAACTTTTCTCTGAGAGAAACCCGAGAGCCTTACACAGAACGAATCGCTCGTTTTTGCAATACAAATATGGTTTGAAAATCTGCCGCTTTACCCCACATGAGAATCCCGTAGGACATTATACTATGTAAGTAACTAAAGTAAACTAGTCTAGCAGTACTAACATCTGCGTCTGCGTATGCAGCGGAGCTTAATCTGCTGGCCAGGGAAGATATATGTGGAAAGCATTGAAGTTTACTATCTAAGGTCACTCCCAAGGAGACAGCTTTATTAATAAGGTGCGCTACTCGTTCCGTTCGTCCCGTGATTGATACTGACACGATACAATGGTTACACGTAATACAATGTATGTGTAACAAGTATTCATTAATAACCGCCGACTTGTTTGATCCCATAAAGATAAGTTATCAATTTGCATAATTCCTAAAGCACGTGATGAATAAAATCTATGTAATGTAATGTAATAACCCTAAATACGAATATGTAAACATATGGCAGTAGAGCTCCTTGTGAAAGGGTACGTCCTGGTAAGTACTGCCACCTTACCTATTTCTGCCGCCAAGCAGTAATGTCAGCATTACTGTGTTCCGGTTTTGACGGGTGCTGGTGAAATTACAGGCACATGGGACTTGTCAACTTATGTCTCAGGGTGGCGGGCGGTGTGGCAGTGCCCCTCAGATCTTTGTGATTTAAAGCTCTGAGAGGCACTAACTAACTTGATCGTTCTGTCACTTGATAGGTATTATAAAAAAAAACCAGAACACAGCAATGGACTTGTCAACTATGTATCAGGGTGCCCAGCACAGTGGCAGTGCTCTTCAGATCTTTGCGGTTTAAAGCTCTTAGTGGCACTGCAACTGTTATGAACAGGTATGTCGCTTACCGCCAGGCCTTCGACTTATTCGTCCCGTCACTTGATATTATAAAAAAAGTTGACAAGTCACATAATTTAAATTTGTATTGAATTGATATTCAATTATTTTTGTCTCAGGGTGACGGGCGCAGTGGCAGTGCCCCTAAGATCTTTGCGATTTACAGCTCTGAGTGACACTGCAACTGTTATGGACAGGCGTGTCGCTAACCACCAGGCGCACGACTTGTTAGTCCCGTCGCTTGGTGTTATTAAAAAAAAAAGAAAAACCCAATCCACATATTGGACTATGGCCTCAATAAGCCCTATCAATACGGGTCCCATGTCCAGCTGTGTGACGTGTTATGTTGATTTGATACAGTTTTATGTAGCACACTATATGCTTATCATGTTCCACAGTTCCGGCGATAACATAATCAAAAAAAATTACGATACAAATACATTTGTACGTGCGATGGTAATTAATTACACTTGTTATGTACACTCTAAGCGAGTTTAATTATTTAACTACGGTTTAAATATAACTAGGCTTATTAACAGTAGTTTAGTCTAGTTATTCATAATTTAGTTTTAGATTTATTTATTATTTTGTAAGTTTTACATTATTGTATACAATATATTGTATTACAAGAATCGTTACAAAGAGTAATAAATAAATGTTACATTTCAAAACATTACAAATATCCAGTACAAGTTTTGTACTACGTAATTTTAACATAGTTAATGTAGTTATGTGAAATAATGTAGGAGCATATTAAATAATATAATAATAATTATGTCAATATAATGATTGTATGCATAAAGTTTATGTAATTTATTCATTTCTGTAAAATAATATCTATACCTAATAATCTATAAATTACAACATATATTACAAGACCATGTCCCTATATTCTTCAGTGGAATAATTTCCGCATTATCCAACAAAAAGTCTTTCAGTCGACGATCAAATGTTACATCATTAGGCTCATTTTTTTAACCGACTTTAAAAAAGGAGGAGGTTCTCAATTCGACTGTATGTACTTTTTATTTTGTATGTATGTTACGCGATAACTCCGGTATTTGTGAACCGATTTTCATGATTCTTTTTGTTGGAAAGGGGGTACTTCCATAGTGGTCCCATTTCATTTTGAAGAAAATCATCCACCTGAAAGGGTGGCTGTTCACGCATGTAGATTCATTTTTATAAATAGCGTCTAACTTTAATTTAGGAGCAATTACTTTTAACAATTATTTAGTTGATTTTGCTATTTCTCCAATTCAAGGCGGTTTCTCTCGATATACTTTGAGTAATGTCGTAGTGAGAACATATTTTTATTATCTCCAGTGTCAAGTCCTGTATAGTGGCGAACTAGGGGATATTTCAATAAAACTTAGAAAATAGACATAATTCCACGTACTTTTGAGGTCGGTTTTTTTTTAAGTCAACGGGTAGGTGCTCATAATAAGTCGGGCCGATTACGCGGATTGTTTTCAGTGAGTGCTAACCGTCGCGGTACGACCCTCAGTCGTCCTGTGGAGCGAGTGTTATAACGGCTTTCAGGCCTTTCAAAGTTGTGTAAATTCCATATAAATACAACGAATATATGGTCATTATCCTGTGTCTCACAAATAAGTCCCTACAAGAGATGCTTCGTGTTTTTG